TACCACGGGGACCGGAGGTACCTCGGCACAAGTTAAGGTGACCGTGTGATGACCGGCAAGGGTCACGGAACAGGTAGCCCTGGCGGGGGTGCAGCTGCCCTTTTCTGATCCGTAGCCAGAGTCTGTGGTGACCGTGATGTTGCCAGCCTGCTGAGGGCTGAGGGTGAGATGCGCGTGCACTGACCACTCCTCGCAGCAACCACCAGGCCCGCACCAACCCCCGCTCCACTCTTTAGACATATCACATGGCTTTAGAAACCGACAAAACACCCTTTCACTCTTCCCTGCCTAATAATAGACCAACAAGCACGAGAGCCGATGGGCTGAGCAGTTGGACTGGGCTATAACAGGCTGTTCACATCAACATCCCACCAATATAATTTTCCCTTTATACTCCCTCCCACACAATCCTACATATTATTTCCAATAGAAATTAATAATTTTTTTTTTATTATTATGTGTATATATACACCAGCAATTATTATTATTATTTTTTTAATATAAACAGACAATTCAAAATTATTGTTATTATTATGTATATTTTTAAAAATAAAAATCATAAACAAGATTTATAATAAAATTAATTACATTATATGATGAATAACTAATACATTATAAATAAAATTATTGTATAATGAAGTCTGTTATTAAGAAAATTAGTCAATTCCAATTTTATATGGTACAATAAAGAACGGGAAAAATTCCCTGTTTGTGACCGACTGTTGGGCAGGCAGCCAGAGAAACGATCTATTTCTAGCATACAACCCCACCTCCTCAGAATCTACATTCCGAAATCCCCTCCCTTATACCTGGGCCATTCACCACCAATTGTTTATTTAGTTTATATTATGTCGTCAGCTGTTGAGAATAATGGGACATTAAGAATATTTTTTTTTTTTAGAAAAAGGTTGTGAAAATTAATTAGTGCATTTATTAGCAGTGAAACACAAGCTATTTGACCGAATTTTCAGAAGAAATAAAAGGAATACTGTGGGATTTAAAGTACTATTATAATTTTTACTTTATTACAGATAGTCAACTTCTAAACAATTATATAAACAGAAAATTTTATCAAATTTGTATCTAATAAGAATAAATAACAGTATTTTATTATTAACTACAGAACATAATGCTTACTGGGTTGAATATTATTTTAAAAAATAAATAAATAAAACAGTTTTTTTCTTAAATAATGATAAGTGGTTTAATTAAATTATACCATAATTTACAGAATAATCAATTTCAATTTAGCTTATCCTGTACCAATTAGCCTAAAGAAATACATAAGATATATTTTTATTGAAGGAAGATAGTCGACTGTGTTCTACATATCATGGGTGATAAATAGTCAGGAAGCAGTCTTTTAAAAAAAAATTTTTATTTGTGCCAAACCTCGTACACATCTAAAATATTTAGTCAGGAAATTATGTACATTCTACTAACAGAAATGTTATCTTCTTCCTCCTCTGACAATGTTTACCTACCTTTTGCTATCTGAAAAAGGACAACTGGGAAATCCTCTCTCCGACCTTTCCACTTACCTACCAAATGTGAAAATACTTGCTTGAAAGCATTCGGTGCTCAAATCACGGTTAGTAAGAGAAAATATTACTAATTTTTATAAATAGATTATATATATATATATTATTTTTAGTTTGTATAACTTTTTATATATTTCATTTTTAATATTGTGTATTGTAATAATAGTTAAGATTCATATACTATTAAATCACTATAGTTTATTATTTACCATTATCGCTCGTATAATATAATATCTCTGATTATATTTTAAAATTTTCAGCAGTGAAGATGACCCACATGCTTGGGTTGAAACGTAGGCATAAATAAAAAATTAAAAGTTTTTTTAAAAGAGTGCATCCTGAATATCTATCATCCAAGATATATTTTTCAGTTTTTATTTTTATGTATGAAAATTATAAACAAACTAAGCACCTTAATGTTAATGTTTAATTATTAACAATTTTTATATTTATAATTAGATTACATTAATTAATATCATTATTCACAGTATACTTAATTAAAATTAATAACAAACATTTTATATTTCAATCAGTAATCAAATAATTCATAGTTCGTAAATTAAATGATTCACTCCATGCATGAAGGACGAAACCGCAACGCCATCAATTTCTTTCTTTTCTTTTTTAATTATACAGCTGGTATAATATAGAATACAAATGTATTTATTTTTTGGCTTAGAGGTCTTCTATATAAGTATATTTATTTGAGAAAAAATTCAGATTTTGAGTTTAAATATTTATGTACTTTAAAAATTGTATACACGGTTTAGTTGACTAATCAAACATGTTTTCTTCAAAACATGATTAGAGAATGAATTAATAAAGATAATAATAAATTATTTTTAATGTTGTAATAATGTTATTCTTATATTAGTTAGGATAGTATATCAATTTCACAATTTTGTAAAAGTTTCAATTTTACTTTCCAATAATTAAAAACATTATTATTTATGTTCAAAATATTATACATTTTCAAAGTTATTTTTCTCTTTCTTCATCATCTCACTGATTATTAATTAATTTAATTTAATTTTCCTATATTTTTATATTCATAACTATATTTTGTTTTTGACTGATTAAATATTCTTTTCTATATCTCTTTTGTTTATCTACTTTTAAATACAAAGAAGTGTTTAAAATACCATTATGGGTCTGCCACAAAACATATGTAGATAATTCAGGCCTGATATTTATTCACTTTATTAATTTAAAAAAACAAGGCTATTTAGTTGTGAAAATTAGATTTTAACTTTTAGATAAAAATCAAAATTACATTAAATCGAATTAATTAAAGTTAAACATGAAAGCAGTTCACTAACTGGATTCAGGATTCGATGCTTTGAACAAATTAAATTTTAAATAGAGTACTGGGGTATGTTCTCCTACCTGTCTCATCAGTACATGTGTAGTCATAAGGAAAGCTAAACGGTTTCTCACATATGATCACATCATACGTGAGGCATGCTCTGCTATGATAAAGGTTGGATTTGGTGTAGTAAACGGAGCGCTCTGATTCCAGATTTGTTGAGGTGCTCACGACATTACCTAAGTAATGTGACTCGAATTATCGTGTAATAAACAAAATCATCTCTAATAAATGCTGTTGAACTAGCTGTTTTACACATTAACAAACAAATGTGTTTTTTTTTTTTTTTTTGGTCCTTCCCTTCCTAGCCGTTAAGGCTATACGGGATTTTCCCGGGCCAGGGAGTGTGGGCGGGGATTTAAAAGACTCCCCTGGCACCGGGACGCGAACTCGTGACTATTTTTATATCTTTGATTCTTATATCTGGATGCCAGGCAACGGCGGTGCAGCTCATTTTTCCAATTAATGAGCACCCAGAAAAACAGAAGTCTTAGAACTTTGTGGGGTCTAGTGAGAAGTTAGCAGTTTTCTAGGATATCTAACAACTTCATTTAATCTCCTTGTAACAGTTCTACAAGAAACAACGGCATCTTTGATTTTTTCTATTGAATTTCTTACTTCATTCAAACTAATAAAGTTTCTTAGAATACATAACTGAATGAATCAGAAGTCTCATCCTGTTGAGAACACGGTCTATGTTAGTTTTTCTTACCTCTCTATAACACTTAGTTGTTCTGGAGACTGGCTAATGCAAAGAGGTCTGGCAATGTTGCTTATTGTGTTTTATCTGTTTATCTTTAAACAATAAAATCCGCTTTTGAAAAATATACATAAAATAAAGAAAAGATTAACTGGAAGTCTTGGATTGAGGCTCGATGTCACAAGAGTAGATCAATTTAAATAAAAAGAAGCCTTTCTTTATATTTTTTAATTACTTTCTTCCAAGACTGGTTTCGTTTTTTAAGCTTTCCTCAGGCTTATTGGTAATGTCCTCTCCCTCAATTGACAGGTAACAGAGGAGGACCATTGCAAATAATCCTGAGAAAGGTTTTATTACTGAAACCGGTCATGGAGAGAATAATAAAAATATACAGAAAAATACTTATGTATTTTATTTAAATTTAGATTAATTGGAAGATACAAATACCTTACCTTAAATGGTCAGGTTAGATATGACAAGAAAGAGAGAGCTACAGGTTGTTACTACAAAGTAATATTTATTTTTAATATTATCAAAAACTAAATGTATTTCAATTATAATAGTTTTAAGGATTAGTATGAAAAATAAGAGTTAACATCATAAGGCTTGGCCAACATGTTGCATGATGGATGGTATATATAACTTTTGTTTCTTGTTTTATGTGTAGAAATAATATTAAATAAATTATACTGGGCATATTTCATTGTTATAAGAAAATAAATTATAATTGGTTTAAACTGAAACTATGTTTCAAAAATTGTTTTTTTTTATCAACAAATTATAATTGGTTTAAACTGAAACTATGTTTCAAAAATTGTTTTTTTTTATCAACCTATCAACCTTTTGTCTTTGATATAAAATCACTCATATAATACTCATATTTCACTCATATAATACTCATATAATTTTCTTAGCCCTGATGATGGCCTGAACTTCAGGTCGAAACGTCGGCAGATGTAAAAAATAAATATCATAATTTATTTTTGCCTTCCTTTTTTGACTGAGCACCCCAACTATTCTTCTCTTCACTCATATAATAAAAAGTACTAACAGATAATTGATTAAATGAATTAGATATTCATTAAAGAGAAGTAGATAATTGAAAACCAAATTAAACACAAATATAGATTCACACTGTTAAACCGTATCTTCTAGTATAAGTAATTAAAGTGTTTATTAAATAACAGGTGTCTCTTCTTCATTCAGAGGATTCTAACATTTAAAAATGTAATAAGTAAATATCTAACATAAAATAAATACCTGAAATCTAAATATCAACTACAAATCAGAAATTTAACCCAATTACCTAGTAGCGGCATGTAAGAAACGAGAACCTATAACATTTAAATTTTAGTAAAATCAATAACTTATTTCACTTAATCGATAATCTTACCTCCTGCAAAGCTTTCTTGTCTGCAACCTTTGAGCTCTGTAACAGCCGAATTACATTTTTAGCTCCTTCAACAACAGCTGCTTCTATCCTCAACCGATGCCTCAGCTCTTCAACTCTATCTTCCAAGCCAGGAGGTTCTAAATTTCTAGACAGCTTATCTGAAATAAAAAGATGAATATTAAATCCATAATTCGATATAATTAAATTTTAACAAAAAAATATTATATGTATTTTATTAATAAAACTTTTTAAATTTATAATAAAAAGTAATTAAGAAATATATAGGGTGCATAAAAAAAATGATCTTTTTTTTAACCAAATATTTGTGTTATTATTTCTTTGATATAAAATAAAATTAATACTCAAAGTATAATCCATTGCCATCTATCGTCATTGCCATCTGCTAGCCAATTGCTCGATCTCACACTGATACCATTCTTTGGGATGGCTGTCAAAGAACTCTTGGACCACCATTTCAACTTTCACAAAATTATCAAATTTTTTTCCTTAAAGAAAATGGACCATGGATCTAAATAAGTAATAATCCGATGGTGCGAGGTCTGGATTATATGGTGGTTAAGGCAGGACTTCGAACCCATGAAGTTCTTTAAACTTTTCTTGTCTTGTTGGAATAAAATTCCTTTTTGGTTGATCAAAGCAGGATAACGCTATGACAACTTCGCATAATATCTTTCCAGTTGTTCGCAGTAGAGATCGGAATTCATAGAGCACCCATCAGGAACAAATTTATGATGAATAACGCCTTCAAAATTCAAAAAATAACGCAAAGGAAAGATTTTTTTTCAAATTGCCCTCTTGCAGCAACCGGAAAAGCAGTTTCACTGTGATCTAGCCATTGCTCAAGTATATTCAGATTTCGCCAGTAAATCCAATTTTTATCATAGGTGACAATCTTCCAGCAAAATCTCAAATCAGAAGGGTTTTTCAATAAATTTCTAACCTCTTATTAGCTGATTGTTGAGGAGTAAGTTTGTGGGGACCAGTTTATTGCTGTCTTTCACCTTCTCCGTGGAGGCTAGAAGGCAACTAACAGTATCTTTCGACACACCACACTCCCTGGCAAGTTTACGAGTACTTGTGGACAGATTTGACTCAACAACTTCCTGCAAAACCTAATCAATATCCATTAATGGTCGTCCGTAGCCCTTCTTCCTTTCCATCATATCTCCACTGCTAAATTTTTCAAACCAATGCCGTGCAGTGCGCTGGTCAACGATACCTTCATATTTAATAATTTCAGGAGTTGCTTCAGGGACTGTGAATTTTTTTTTTTCCAGTAATGCCTTAAAATTACGACAATTTCGTAGGAAACTGTCATGTTTTCTCTTTGACACAAATAACTAAACTGAGATTCTTTTGAAGAATTCGACTGAGATTAAACAAGCTTAGAGAATGCTCTAAAGGGATAATTAAGTATTGGTAAGTATTAAAATATTTACAGTCCTTTGAAATCTTGAATTTGATAAAACGGTCATTTTTTTTTATACACTCTAATACACTTATATTTTTATATTGGGAGTAGGGTAGCTCAGTGGAAGAGCACCAATGCTCAAGGCCCCTGGTTTGAATCCCGATTCGTTGCAGATAAATTACTAACTCCGTTTTATTGGCTGTGGATCAATCATGGGGTTAGGAGACCGTCCTGGGGCACACCCAGCCTCTGTAAAGTGGGTATCCATAATTAAAGAATTAATGAAGGGAGAAAACCCGGCGGTTGAGCATGATATTTGTCATCATTTCTGAGCACAACCAATGACCAAGAAACAGTACTGTTCTTACGTAGTACTGAGCCCAAGACCCTTCACAGGTTGTAGTAGTATAGGATTTTATATATTATTTTATTTTCACATTAATTTACCTATAGAAAATTAAACATTATAAAAAAACATTATAAAAAATTAAAAAAAAAAATTAATTTAGCTATAGAAAATTAATCATAAAAAATAATTATTTTTTTTTGCTATAAATTGCAGTTGTATTTTTTACGTAATACAGTTGTAAATTTCATTAAAATAAAAAATACAAAAAATTAAATAAGCAAAGTTTGATAATCTCCAGATCGAGAATGCCCTAATTCTGAGAATTTTTGTAAATAAAATATTTGTAGGTTACGATGAAATGAAGCTATTTATGAAGTTTCAGGCGGGTGATAATAATTTGATAAAAAGGTGTCTGTACCACGACCTAATATAATTGAAGAGAAGTTGGTTGGGGTATTCGGCCAAAAATAAATAAATGATATTTATTTTTGGCCACATCTCGGCCTAAAGTTCAGACCTTCGTCAGGACTGATCTAACAAAAGGTTCCCGTGAGATGTTTGACTAAACAACCCCTCCAACTAACTTCTCTTCAATTATTTACTACAGTCAACCATCAATCCGCCATTATAATACAATTTAGTCCGACGTTATAATACTATAAACTGAGCAGGGGAAGAGTGGATAAAAGGGTAAGTACATAGATTTTCAAATGAAAAATATATGGCTTTTTCCAAAAATATTCGGTACCTTACAGATTCCTTACAATGAAACTTGCTATATAACACTTTTTTTTTCCTTCTTAGTTTGCACTTAAGCATTTAACTACATACTTGGTCTTCACACTAACTGTAAGTGCTTATTGTGATTTCACATAGGACAACTCATCAAAATATTCACTAATTAATTTTCTAAAATGTTACTTAATTATTTGAAAGTTTTGTACAACTTTTCTTTTTTTAGCTAGGCTTCGCATATACACCACAGAGACACAAGCCACTTTGAGGGACTAATTTATTTGGAATAAGGGGACCTTAAAACATATACTTATGTTGAAAACTCAGATTCAAAATTTTTCATGCTCGCAATACTTCTCTGATTATATATTTCATATATAAGTAAGCAAAAGTAAAGAAAGGAAGGACCACAACAACCTAATAAATCTTAGATTCAGTAATCAATAAGAATGTACTGTTTCTTGACTACCACTTAAATACAAGAAGGTGAGATGGTCAAAATCCACCAATTTCATAATAACTCGATCAGCCACTCATTAGAAGCTGGTTTGCAACAGTGTCCATTAACTTATGGCTGATATTACAGAATTAAATTTTCTGTCCTAAACCAAACTTGAAGGTGGGCTCGGGAGTTTAGAGTCCAGTTATATTAGGAAAAAAGCCAATAACTGAAGAAAACAAATGCAGATAATTTTTTTGTGAAGCTTTATATAAACTTTTATAATATGCACAACAAATGAACGATTTTCTATGAGCTTTTGTAACAATGTTGTTTATCAAGAAAAATCAATTCACACACCATTTTAGTTTGACACTTGACCTTTAAATATCAATATGTAAATTTATTTTTTTAATAATAAATATAAAAAATAAAAATTGCAGACTAAATAGCCCAAGACAGGCAGAGATGGAGCAGGTTTGTTAAGGTGGAAAAAGATCTACATGGTCTTTAAAGCCAAAATAAAAATTTGACCGATAGTAATTCTGATTCATAACAGCAGAGTTGTGCTCCCATTCTTTAGATAGTAAAATTCTTCTTACAGAACCATGTATGCAACCTGCATACAGCATACTAACAACAACAAGTTTGTTAGTTCTATTAGAGACCTTCAATAATCTCTGAACCTAATACCTAATAATTTTGTTACTAAAACCCTGGAATTAGTATCCCTGACCACAATCATCCGCTAAGTTTCTCTCTTATTCTATTAAAAATACAAAGTGAGCCCTTTATGAAGGATGGATGTGCCCAAGGAATGTCAAACAAATCCAGAAGTGAAATTTCTTCGACCATCTGGCATCAACGTAGGTTAGTGACTAGAAATCCAGCGCCCTACTGACTGAGTTATCCCACTTCGTATATTATTGCCTATCACTAAGGTAAGGTATCATGTTCAATTTTTTTAAATGTACTAACCTTTATTGTTTGAATCCCCATTCGACGCAGCATCACTGCCACTACGGCTTGCATTGGCTTTGTTCTGTCTAACCTTAAGTATCCTCATTTTCAAGAATTCAATTTTAGCTTTGGAATCTGCAAGCATCTGTTGGGCCTCACCAATAAGTTTTTTGTCTCGAGAGTGACCAGTATTTTCCAAACTTTGAAGCATGTTTTCAGCTCCATGTTTGACCTGTAAAAAATTAAATATATCAATTCACAATACATTTAATAATTTTTTATATCTTCATAAACATATTAATTACTAAACAAAAAATAGAATGAATGAATTAATTCATTCATTCATTCATAATTAATTCCTATGATTGTGGAGCATATTTGGTGGTATACTTCACTTTATATTATATATTGAATACCTCATGATCTACTTTAACATCTTTGCTAATTATTGTTCCTAAATATTCATGAAACCACAAATATGAAACCACAAATTAAAGATATATCCCATTACAGGTTATCACATCCTGTTCAACATCCCCTCTAACCAGCATAACTTTTTCTCTAAACAGCTATTTCTCTTAACTGCAGCCCTTCTTTGCAATCATTTAATGCTCCTTATTTAATACACTTATAAAACCAAAATGTTTTCATTTATGCCCCTTCAGCCTGACAATACATTTTGGATCCTTGTATATTCACTTTATTACATGTATGAGGTTGTTAGGTATAAATAAAAATGGATGCACAGATACAATGTAATTAATTTAAAAATAGGTACTTAAAATACAATGAATAAGGTCTTTCACAGCCAATAAATAAATTACATTATAATAATCAATACGACATACTTTGAGCTCAATATTAAGTTGCTTCTCCAGGGAAAGTAGCCTAAGGTCAGTGGCAAAATTACTGGTTTGGTTTTCCATGGACATTCCAGACATTGGTGACACCAGGCCATCTGAAAATAATATGTTTTTTTAATAAACTAATAACTATTAAGGGAATGTATAATACATACATATAAACAATGATAATATATGCAATATTTCTTCAAGAAGTTTCACAACTAAATACATTTTGTCCGTTTTCAGTCACTCATTCTGATCTGGATAAAATTCAATGTTTAGTGAACAATGGATTTCAAAACTCTATAATTCTGTAACAAAATGCAATACGATCCAAAACATTTCAAATTTAGATGTTTTACTCCTCAACAAAGTATAATTCTGGTGAAAGATAAATTAATCAGAAAATCCTAAACCATTTTTCTATACAGTGCGATAACAAAAATTGTGTTAATTATTTTAAATAAAATTGTAATAAGTTGCAAAATTTCTTTTTTTAAATTTATGCTGTGTTAAAGAACTACAACTCTTGTGATAAGTCTAAAGGTGAGTAGATCTTTTGCTGAATTTAGAGTTGACCACATTCCTGGTCGCCAAGGCAGTGACTTATATAAACACTACCGTGGTGTATACCATAGTTTGACTAACTGTCTTGGCAGTACTGTAATAGGAGCAATTTCTTTTGCCAGCTTACAATTTGACTTTTAATACTTTATTTAACCTAATAACCTCTTTTTTAAATTGAATTAAGAAAAATAAAAAGCCAATATGCATTGTGGTGATTGGTATACATTGTAGAAGTATGGTGAAGCAAAGGTATAAGACTGAGTTATTTGCGTTGGGTTTGCTAAGCCTGGAGTTGTTATTATTATTATCATATTTTAATTGAGTTGTTGGTATAAAAAGAAGAAGAATGAAAATCTGTATTATTCCCGAGAGTTAGAATGGAAAAAAATCATCTTTTTTTTTTTTCTCAACCAATCTCCAAGTAAGAGTGCAGTTTTTCACCCTGAATCTAACTATACCCAAAACTCAATTAAAACAATAATAATAAAATGTTTAACAAACCCATAGGTTCAATGACGATACCACCAATTGTTGTCAACATACATAACTCAATTCACAGGCGGATCTACGGGGGGAGGGCTTTCGGGCTGAAGCCCCCACAGAATGGAAAAATATAATCATATTTTATAGAAAAAAATATTAAAAACTATCACTTAAAGTATTATTGTTCGTATAATTACAATTAATAGAACTTCAAGAATCACTTAAACACTATTTCATATTTCAACTTGCGCCATGAATCCCCTAAAGCAGTCCCCACCCGGAGACCCGAACAGGGGACTACTTTACCTTAGGATAATGAGCGTTTTACCTTAGGGAGATCCATGACTATTTGTGGTGTATGGTGAACTAAAGATATGTGAGTAGGGCGTTCAATCCTACATCACACCCTCCAGCAAGTCTGGAGGGCCCCTCTCATTGTTGGTCAGCGAGTCCATCGGACTTAGCCGGGAGGAACTTCCAAGGAATTTCCACTATTTCATATAGATAGTTAATTTCTTTCCTTTTTTTTTCAAATTAATTAACGCTAAATATATGAAAAAAAAAAAAGTTTTCGGGCTGAAGCTCCCCCAAAATTAAATCCTGGATCCGCTAGTGACTCAATTTAAAAAAAAAAAAAATGGCTTGAATGTTTTTCAATTTAGTTTCGGTTGAAGTAGTTATTGAAATCCCTATATATGAATATATGAAATTTATTATTATAAATGAGTAGCCAGGATTAAAATAATGATGGCACGAGCTGTTCTTTTGGTTGTGTAGTGTTCAGTCAGTTATTATTCTACAATCGCCAGGTTTCCTATGGCAGCTTGTAGACAAGGACACGCTCCCTGTTTCACTGTCATCAAAATACAACAGCGGCAGAAAAAAAAAATTACCCTTTAAAAGAAGAAAACAACACCTAGATGAATCGGTCTCTTATTGCCACGCGGCTAACGGCGATGACGTACAAGGCAGTAACACGGAAGCCGAAGTTGAAATACAGTGAACAATCCATAGCCGATGATCGAGTTGGCTATGGACTGACCGCAGCAGAGCACCGATGAGTCAGAGGGACAGCCGGGAAGGACATTGCACTTGCTCAATGAGTTAGGGGAACCCTACATTAGTCAGGCCATTCAGGAAGGTCATCTGGATTCCTTTATCTTTTAACAGCCCTAGAACCTGTTCCAGTTGTGTTACAACATTTGGGGCCTCCTAACGAGTTTTGATATCATGTGTATGATAAGAATGAAACAAGAAAAATAGTCTAAAGTAATTAAACAAAAATTACAAATATTTTATGGTTTAAACGGCCATCTTTAATATATATATATAAAATTAAAAAACTTTATTCCAGCCTCTTTGTTGAAATATATTGGGTTGTCACGAAAAATAATGTAGGATATCATGTTTTCATTTTATTAACACTCTATATAACAAACTGATTTCGTTTGAGGATTTATTCTGTTGTATAGAACACTTATTAATCCTGTTTCAAACAACAATTTTTTATCTTCAGCATCTCACTACTTAGAAAATAATTTAGTTTTTACTAAGGGTAATTTTCGCATAATTTCGTTTTACGAGTTTAAAATCGGTTGGAACGGTGTCCTAACAGCCAAAAACCTATGAGTCTTTCAGTTGAAAGAACGACTAACTCCATTTTCAACATTTTTGATAAAATGTCATTTAAGTGATATTTCTACTTGGAAAATTTATAATATCTGTCCAGACCGAGAGTATGTTAATTCCAGAGTAGATTATTGCAGAGTTGAAATATAGAACTGTGAATAAAACTATAATTTTCCCCACTAGAAATATCACTAAAATTAATTATCAAAAATGCTGAAATTGGAGTTAGCCATTTTGTCAACTGAAAGGCTCATATAGTACTCTTTTTATCAAATCATTAGCATCAGCGTAAAATTTCGTGAATGGTTTCAGATTACCATAACCTACAAAATTTTTATCTACCAAATTCTCAGAAATGAGGCGTTTTCTTATTAAATTGATTAAAAAACTCATAAATAACCATTTGCTTTCTACCTGAATCATAAGATAATTTGATGAAAAAAATGGAGGAAAAAAAGGTGGCATACAAAAATAATTGATTATTTTGACATGTTGGTTCTGGAGGTCCCACCAAACAGCCAATATTTTTGTAGGCCACCTTTATTCTCGATTTTGTGATCAAATTATCTTACGATTTAAGTGGAAAGCAAATGGGTGTTAATGAGTTTTTAGTACCTAATTTAATATGTTTGCCGATCTCCAGATTGAAAACAACTCAATTCCAAGAATTTTCGTAAATAAAAAAGTTGTATGTTACCATGAGATAAGGCTATTCATGAAGTTTTAAGCGGATGTAGATAATTTAATAAGAAGGGGTTCACGTACTATAACTAAAGTTAATGATAGAAATTCGTAAATAATAACAATAAAAAACAAAAAACCTATACCACCTATCCTTTTCAAATCTGTACCTCTTTCCGTCGCAGACACAGGCGTCTACGTGGGAGGAGGAGGAGCTTTCGGACTGAAGCCCTCCCTCCCAAAATTGTAAAATATAACTATGTTTTATAGAAACAAATAGTAAAACTATCTCTTAAAGTATTATTGTTCGCATAATTACATTTAATAGGACTTCAAGAATCACTTAAACACCACGTCATATAGGTAGTTAGTTTCTTTTTTTTCCCCAAATTAATTATCGTTATATATATATGAAAAAAAAAAGCTTTCCGGTTGAAGTCCCCAAAAATTAAATCCTGAATTCGCTAGTTGTCTCAGACATAGTTCGGTATCTTGGATTTCTTTTAGACAAAATATCAACATGGAACCCAAATACCAGACTTAAAAGACAAGAACTTAACCGGTGTTTAGGCCAGTTATACAGACTACTTAACAGAAAATCTAAACTATTAATATACAAGACCATACTGAAATCCACTTGGACCTAAAGACTGGAACTGTGAGGGGACAACTAAATTTTCTAACATCAAACGCAACCAATCATTCCATTCTGAAGTCCTCCGTATAATAGTCAATACTCCTTATTATGTTACGAATAAAACCTTACATCATGACCTCAACATCCCTTATGCCCTTGACGGTATTCCATCCCGTACCTCAAATTTTACTTACCTGAATCTAATCCAACATCTTAATTCCTTTGCACAATCCTTATCCAGCTCTAGTCATCTCCAGAATCCTTCTCGAAGGTTGAAATGGCAGTAGCCTCGAGATCTTCTGTAAAGACGTCACGCAGAAATTCAAGAACCACTTAAACACCATTTCATAGAGGTTGTTAATTTTTGTTTTCTAATTAATTATTGTTATATGTATATGAAAAAAAAATCTTTCGGGCTGAATCCCCCCCAAAATTAAATTCTGGATCCGCTAGTGCACCTGAGGGAAAGGGCTGGACTCGGAGCTCTCTGGGCTGGTAGTAAATATTTTTTAAGTATGAATGTTTTTATTTTCTATTTATTTATTTTTAATTTATAATTTATTTATTTTTGCTATGGATTTCTATATGTTATTTTATTTTAACTCCAAGTTAAATTTCTTTGGTTTTATTATAGTTTTTGCCTTTGTCATTTAGATATATATTTTTTATTATTTATTTTAATTGTATACAAAACAAATGAAGAACGGTGAAACATTGTATTCGCGACTGGAAAAAAGGAGTTCGATTCCTCTAATAGATATGTACAAAGTTTAAAAAAAAAGAAGAAAGAAAATTACATTTGTTATTTAAATCGATGTATTACCTGTCATATATATATATATATAAATACAGTAAAGAAAAAAAATATTGTAATTCATTAACAGAAATATTTATCTGACATAGACGGCATTTACACTTATATGCTTTATAAAATGTATGTATATATATATATATAATAAAAGGAATGAAGATTTATTAATTCTATTTATTACAGAATCTTGATGCATTCTTTGCCAGATAATTCTAGACTAAATAAAATTAAAAGTGAAATATGAATATTTAAGTACCATATAAAAACCCATAAAAACTAAAAAAAGTTTTCATATAAAAAGCCAC